GTATTAACTATGTACCCATCTGCCCATCAATCTTAAAATAAAGAATATAAAAACTATTATATATAGATATATTTATATATTTTTTTATTTTTGGGTTTTTTTGTGTGTTTTTTTTACCTTCAATATAACAAAGCTTGCTATCATTAGCCATCATATATTCCACAAACTAGAACAAAACCCTTTGTGATCCTTGTTTACAGATAGCACGGTCCTCTAGGGTAAACAACAGGTACAGTCCTTTTATTTGCATATAATCCAGGCACTTTATTTGTAAGTCCACACAGGAGACAGCAGCAAATGAAAACATAAATATAACACAAATCCCTATAAACAAAAACCTAGCTCGTCTGAGCACTTACTAACATCAGGTTCCCTATCTCTCAGGGGTTAAACTAGAACAAAACAATAATGGTTTCACCAACCTAGTGTCTTTGTCAGCTCTCTGCACTCCAGTGCTTAGTCAGCCTGTTGCTTTCCTTTCTACACTCCCAGTGCTCCAGGACACCCTTAACTGCTTTCCTTTCTGCACTCCCAGTGCTCCAAGCCAGCCTTGACTGCTTTACTTTTGCACACCCAGTGCTCCAAGCCAGCCTTTACTGCTTTCCTTTTGCACTCCCAGTGCTCAGTCTCCTTGACTCACTGGAGAGAACAGACTCTCTCCTACCTGCTTCCAGGGAGGAAGCCAGCAATCCCCCTTTACCTGCCTAGCAGGGAGGGGTTTATTCCCACTGCTACAGCTGATTATCTGCAGCTGAGCAGTGGGTTGGAGACAGTTCCAAAAAGCTCTGGCCTGGACCTTATTTCTCCCAGTTGTGTATAAACTGCGGAGTGGAGCATTGGCCCACCCTACTCTCCAAATGCTCCACCCCAGGGGCCCAGGGCCGGACTGGGGATACAAAGCAGCCCTGGAAAAAAAATTTGTGCCAGCCCCATAAGTCACTGCGCCATATATTGTCGCGTGTAATATGTAAGGCTATGTCTTGCCAGGACAGATGATTGAGTAATATATATATATATATATATATATATATATATATATTGCTTTTTCTAATATAAAATATTGGTCCTTTCAGGGTAAAACGTTTAATTATACAGTAAGCATACGCACATGCAGACACAGGCAATTTCACTGACATTTCAGTGACACACACAAGCTCATTGATACACAGCCTCATTGACATAAAAACACAAGCTCACTCACTAGCAGGCACACGCATGCAAGCAAGCTCACTCACTAGCAGACGCACACACACAGCTTAATGTGGTGGTACTGGTGTCTATAGCATGTCCCTACAGGCTTTTCAACGTAAACACTGATTTTTCAGACAAAAGGCAGTGTTTACATTGCTTCAAAGTGACACTGATAGTGACAGTCACTCAGACGGTCACTAGAGGTGCTTCCTGTGTTAGTGCCCTCCCGCCCTCGCGCGCTGCTGAATGAGACCGGCGCCGGAATATGACGTCATATTCCGGCGCCGGTCTCATTCAGCTGCGTGCTGGGGAGCAGAGCCAGCGCAGCTTGCGCAGCTCCCCCAGCGGCCGCCAGGATAAGTCCGCCAGCGGCCGCCAAAAGACCTCCCCAGCGGCCAGGGGAGGGCTGGCAGCCTTAGGCCTGGGGGGCAAAACCAGTCAAGTGGCCCATTGCACCACCAAATCAGTTCACCATCCATGCCCACCTTTTCCTGGTTTTATAACGGATATTGATGTTATGCTAATCAGTAGCTCTTTGCCATACCCGCTCCTTCACGGCTCCAGGCACTGCTTGTTGTGAGTGTGAGCCACTGTAAATTAGGGGCAGAGGGCACTTGCACTGCGGTAAAGATGGGGCTGGGCAGGAGGAGAGTGCAGTGCAATCAGTGCACTCCCCCTCCTGTGGGTCACCAGTAGACTGGTGCACCTGCCCAGGATCAGAGCCGGTGCAAGGATTTTTGCCGCCCTAGACAAAATAAAAATTTGCTGCCCCCACATGTCACATCACAATGCCCCACCCATATGATCTGCCATATGAACTAACGCCAGTGCTGCACACAGTGTGTGTTTACATTAAAAAGCCTGCAGGGACCAATTATAGACACCAGAACCACTTCATTAAGCTATAGTGTCCCTTTAATGTGAGGTAAATTATAGATTAGTGTCACTAATAATATACTAGATTGCCTACTTACAAGCAGATGAGGATGATGATGGGCTGCGGTTTGGCTCCACTGGTCTGGTGTAGAACAGGATCTCTGGAGGCTGTTTGCAACTGTGGTCACAAAATTCAATGTTCTGGGAGAATTGGAAGCAGCTCCATTTTTTTGGGGCCCCTTACACAGCTCAAGGTCTGGGCCCCAGGGCCCCATAAGGCCCACTCATAAGTTCCACCCACCCATGAGTTCGCTCATAGGGAGTGGAGTGTGTAGGGCATGTGTTATGTGTTATTGTAGAGGATCTAATATGTGTGCTTATGGTATGTAGTGTTTAGGGTTACCAGTTTGTGCAGGTGATGCAGTGTGTTTGTGTGTAGTGGAAGCAGTGTGTATTTGTGTATAAGGGATGTATTATGTGTTTCTGGTTGTGTGTAAGGAATGCATTGTGTGAATCTGTGTTTGTATGCATAAGGGATGCAAGGTGTGTGTCTGTATGTGTGTGCATGAGATGCATTGTGTTTCTGTGTGTATGTAAGAAAAGAAGTGTGTGTGTTTGCATGCGTGTGTAGGGTTTGCATTGTCTGTTTCTGTGTATGTGTGCAAAGGATGCATTGTCTTTGTGTGTAAGGGTTGCAGTGTGTGTGTGTGTGTGTGTGTGTGTGTGTGTGTGTAATGGATGCATTATGTGTTTCTCTGTGTGTAAGGGAAGCATGTTGTGTTTCTGTGTATGTATAGGGATGCATTGTGTGTGTGTGCGCGCGTAGTGTGAAAGAGCTCCCTGTCTTGGCCCCTGTCCTATAGAGCGGCCCCTTCTTCTTATTCCCCCCCTCCCCTCTTCTTATTCCCCTCCCTCCCCTCTTTTTATTCCCCCCCTCTTTTTATTCCCCCCCTCCCCTCATCTTATTCCCACCCTCCCCTCTTCTTATTCCCCTCCCTCCCCTCTTCTTATTCCCCTCCCTCCCCTCTTCTTATTCCCCTCCCTCCCCTCTTCTTATTCCCCTCCCTCCCCTCTTCTTATTCCCCTCCCTCCCCTCTTCTTATTCCCCTC